AACAAAACAAACAAGCAAACAAAAAAACAGATTGTGGAGTTAAAAGGTATACATAAGTCATAACACAGATACAGAAAGATCAGAAAAAAAGTTCATTTTTCTCAAGGACTCACCTTTTCCTTTTTACTTTCCTTTTCACTCTACCAATAATCCCAGGCTAGTTCTTCCATTATCTTGGCTCTCAATGCCTACTTCCTTTCTGAGTCTCAGATTCCTGTGTCCTATAACTAACGGTTACTGGAATGGACATAAATAGAATTTTTTTTTTTGTACCAGGGATCAAACTCAGGGCTTGCCAGGCAGGCACAGCACCACTGAGCTAAATCCCCAGCTCAACAGCTCAAATTTAACAAGATAAAAACTGAAATGCACACTGGGCATGGTAGAGCACCCCTGTAATCCCAGTATTCGGGAGGCTGAGGCAGGAGGATTGCTGTGAGTTCCAGACCAGCCTGGGCTACATAGTGAGTTCCAGGTCAGTCTCAACTACATAGTGAGGAGACCGTGTCTCAAAAAAAAAAAAAAAGTTTCTGGCCCTAAAAAAAAAAAAAAAGTTTCTGGCCCTATTTTGTCTTGGTTGTGAGTTCCCTTGATAAAATGACCCAAACTATGGTAACCCATTCCTGCCTCCCAGGAGCTATTCTTATTCCCCATTCCTATTCCCCAATTTTCCTACTCTTAACCTCCATTGTTCCTTAGAATTCATCCCTCAACTTCAGAGAACACGAACTCTGTCTATCTGACATCTAATACACTGGGAGTTACATTTATTCCCCCTATATCACTCAGACTCTGTTGTTTCTGCTCTGCAACACACAGGGCTGACCAGAGCACATCATAGATGCAGGTGCAAATGCAGTGTCACTGGAGACTCAAGTTCCCATTCGCTTTCCCTCTAAGGACCCGCCACTGGCCTCTTCATCTTGTCCTTCAAAGAGCAGACAAGAATTCAGGAAAATGCATTTCAGAGCCAAAGATGATGAGGATGACAAAGAAGCAGAAAAGTAGAAAACACAAAAGATGATTTTTGTATTTCACACAATTAACAATTTGGCAATTGAACTAATCATAAGATTTTACATAAAAAATGCCTCCAAGAGAAAGCATCCTTAATTGAACTTATAAAGTGACCCATGGTAGTGAACAGCACAAAACGCCAGGTACCTGGAGGTGGTTTCCTTGCAGGACTACAAGCTGCCACAGCACTCACTGGACTGGGTCAGCTGCAGGGTTCAGTGTTAAATAAGAGTGATCTGTGTAAGGAAAGCTCTTCACTGGAGCTCATTATGTAGATAATATGCAAGCTTACTGTCCGTTATCAAAAGCTGATCAATCTTGAGATTAATTTAGTGCCAGTCCCCAGTGGACTCTCCTACATTTCTCAATATGAAAGTGCTTACCTTGAAAACTTTGCCAAACACATGTGGGAAAGGAATAAAATATATATTTTGAAAAAAACAATAAATGACCCAAACTAGGAGCTCAGGTTGGTATTTAACTCCTTTCCTTGCCTCTCCCAGGATTATCAATTCAATCCAAGAAGTATCTTTGTCCTCACCTGCCCAGCAAGCAAAAGGTCCTGAGTTCCATCCCAGTATTAGAAAAAAAGTGTCTTTGAGAAAGGAGACCACCCTTCTATATAGAATTGTGTAACTATGGGTTAACGAGGTAACTATGTTTTTTGAGGAATGTAACTGGGTAACCATGATAACTTCTGTAATCTGTCACCAAAGGAACATAAAGGACTCACAAAGTCCTGCCAGAACTCTTTGCTCCCTCCCCCTATACCCGCTATTCCCCCTATCAAGCATACCTGATCTGTTTTCCAGCAAGCTAAACATACTAAAATAGATCTGATCACTTTTCCTTTTAAAATTTTTTAAATTTTTATTGTACGCGTTTGCAGTACTAATCACTTTTCCTAAGAAACCTACCACCTCCTTGAGTTTAGAAATCCTCACTTAGCATTAAAGACTCTTTGCAACCAATTGGCAGACCCCTGCCCTACTATATCTCTCGCTGCTCCCCATCAGGGACCATAAACCAGTGAAGGCCTTATACAGCTCACTGCTTTACTTCTGCTAAAAATAAAAAGAACTTTCCCTCAGAACCTCTAATTCATTGGGACTGTGGCTTTGTAAGAAAAGGAAGAGAAGAAGAAAAAGAAAGAAAAAGGAAAAGACCTGAGTTAGGAAGGGCTCTCACCCCCAGTCCCTCTCACTTCTCTAGAATCTGCAAAAAGAAACTCACAAGATGTGGCTGCCCCATCTTGAACTTCCCAGGCTTCTGAACCATGAACCTAATAAAACTTATTTCTCTCTCTCTCTCTCTCTTGCTCCCTTATTCTCTGAGTGCTTTGCCTGTTTGTTGTTTTGTTTTGAGACAAGGTCAATCTGTGTAGTCCAAGATGGCCTTGAATTCACTGTGTATCTCAGGCTAGCCTCAAACTTGTGGCAATCCTCCTGCCTCAGTCTCCTGAGTGCTGGGATTACACACATGTACCACCATGCTTGGCATATCACATATACTTAAATTACATACAGTGTTAAATTTAAAAATAAATAACAAATTTCATTTTTGATAGTCTAATAGTGTAATGGAAATACATACATCCCCAAATGGAATTAATAATGCTGTTACTTCCTAAGAAACTTAAAGTTAGGTAAGCAGGTAGGTGATTTGGATAAACAGCATTCTGAGACCACAAAGCTTTCATAGTTCCAGCTCACAAAATGGCTTGGGGGTGAGGGATGGCATTAAAGTAAGATGAAGTGTAAAAGAGCATTCACTCCTTTCCCCTCATTACCTTCTTTTATCTATTTCCTTTTATTTAAGCCAATACCTCACTCATATTACACTCTACAAAATAGAATTCAAAGTATGAAAAAAATGGGAGATAAAATAGAAATGTAAATAGTAAACCCCCAAAAGATCAAAGCAATGACAAAGATAAATTTGCAAATCAGAGTGTTAATACTGAACAGAATTTCAAGTTATATTTTCCCTTTGTTTAAATACCAGAATGTTATAGGACAGAGGGTATGGAAAAGGTGGCCAGGGAAATGGGAGGACCTGTCAATTACAAGATTCCAAATTCTAGGGCAATCTGAGGACTCGCGCATGTGTGTGTGTGTGTGTGTGTGTGTGTGTGTGTGTGTGTAGGACTTCTTTGGAGCTCACCTGAAGAAGTGGACAGCATAAAAGAGAGGTCCTTGGTAAGCTGCTATAGTGGTAGGACTTTGCAGTGGCCAAAGCTGCATTTCTCAGATGCAGTGGGTACTTCTTTTATTTTTGCTTTTTACCCTCTTTTTTGTTTTTTGCTTGGCTCAAGTTTGCTCTGCAGAGGTTGTTTTTCCCATACTCATTTACCCCGTATTTTTAAAATAAACTTTTTGACACCATTATTGTCTTGTCTTCAATTTTTTGTTCAAGGCAAGAATGGCCTGGAATTCCTTTGAATACTGAGCCATTTATTATATATGCTGCCAAAGAGAACTATGGTGAGCCATTTCTGAACGAACTACCCTATAACAAGAGGAAACAGGGCCAAGGATTTAGCTCAGTAGCATAGCGCCTGCCTCACAAGGACAAGATAGTGAGTTCAATCCCATACCGAGAAAGAAAAAAGAAAAAGAGGAAACATTTTCACTTGCAATTAAGTTAGCTTCTGCCCTAACTGCAATTTCATCAAATCTCAATACCCAGAACTGCCTAAATTTTTAGTATAGGAGGAAGTATGAGTATAGAATATTAGCACGGCCTTAAAAGTCAGATGCAAATCCAAGTATAACCTTTATCTGACCCCTCAAGTTCTTCCACTTCCTAGGCATATAATATCTGCAGTTTGGAACTGTGATCCCCAAAATGAGAACAATAAGGATTAAATAAAATAACGTGTCTAGAAAGCACTCTGCATATTACATGACACAAAATGAGCATTCAGCAAGTCATACATGTTATTGTAATGATGTAATTTTCATCGTGACTGTGTGATTGTAATTTTCATAAATTATGGTGCATGCATACAATACTATTTTAACGATTTGAAATATGACTGTTCTGTTAATATGAGTGATTTCCACGATATAAAAACTACGTAGTATTTTCCTCCCAGTAGTGAAGATTGTCATTGAGCTATCTCCCAAGCCCTTTTTATTATTTTCAGACAGGGTCTTGCTAAATCTCCAAATAGCCTGAGTTGGGCTCAAACTTGCAATTTTCCTGCCACAACTTCCCCGAATGTTGGGATTGCAGGCCTGCGCCATCACCCATGGCTAAAGTACATACTTTATTAAGGTATATCAGTTTATTAAATTATATAACAAGGACTCCTGAATTTGAGAAAAAGCAAAAGTATGTGGATTGGACAAGGCAATGAGAATAACTTCATTCATTCAAAAATTGTATCCACCCATCAAGTACCACTGGTCATTGCCAGTGAGTAACCTGCATTTCTTTGGGCATATTGTCTAGAGCAATAAAATTAGCACTCCTGTGGTGACTCAAAATATGCATTCATCCATTCATAAATCAATGAAGAAAGCTCAGTGGCAAAATACACCCCACACAAGCCTCTAGTAATTTAAACAAGCATCCATCTCTCCACGTGAGAACGCATCCGATGAGAGCGGCGGGGCCGGCTGGGGTTGGAGGCCTGGCTCCCAACCCGGTGCCGAGTCACCAGCCCGGAGTGGTAGGAAGTCCCCTGCCACCAACCGACTCTGCACTGGGCTCAGCCCTCTCAAATGCTGGGAATCAAACTGGGGGTTCGACCTCTGAACCTCAAACTGAGGGATCCTCGCTGTTGGCGCTTCCTCAGTACTCAGGGCTCCATTATGGACAGGCGGTAATAGAGAGAAGAGAAACTAGCAAACGCCTCTCGAGGGACTCTCGTCTCCGAGAAACCGTAAAAACAGGAGGCAGCGGGGAAGGGGTCACCCTGGCCGCTTTTCCAGTCCTAGGCACCGCCGGCTCGGCCCACTCGTGGCACAATCACTGACCTTTCCAAAGGGGCCTCCCAGGGTCGGTGGCCCGAGCAGCAAGAGGGGTGGCCTGGGCCCCGCACCCCACACAAGTCCCTCTCAGCCGGCTCCGCGCTAAGGAGCGCAGGATAAGCAAGGGCGACCAGGAGGCCGCCATCTTGAGCTCCGTACAAGGGGACGAAGAGGAAAACTTTATTGAAAGCCAGATGAGAGAAGGTAGCAGTCAAATCAAGCCGTGCTCGCGGGACGCTCCGCCCGAAAGAAGCAAGGGGAGCAGCTAAGGGAGGTGACCTCCAGAGGCGGGTTAGCTTCCAGTGCCCTTCAGTCCTGGGCAGGGCCAGACCAGACTACGGCTCCCAGCATGCAATGCGCCTGGCGTGGGGGGGGCACTCCTGTGGGGCCCGGCCGCAGGCGAACCCGTATCAGTAGAGACCTCCAGAAGTCGTTAAGACACCCAGTATCTGTGACAGAGCCTTTAAATTAGCTCACGTTAACTTTTAGGGCAGTACACCCTCGTATTAAAGAAATATTGATGTTACCTCGTCACACCTCTCCTAAAAGGTAGCTCCAAATCTTTTTTTCCTTTTCTTTTTTTTCTTTAGCATTCTCTGCAGCTTTGGACAATATCTGAAATATGCTCCTACCACCTATCCTTTTGGTATTTGAATAGCATCAATCACTCAAATGTTGTGAAAGATTTTATAAGTCAAATGGGGAACTAATGGGCCAATACCAACATTAGTGGACAGAATAGTCATGATATGATGTACCCAAAGAAGAATTTTAACACGGACATAGAGCCTGGGCCCGCAGATGCTCACGAACCATTCCCTTACACTGCTGCTGCTGTTGTTCCTCCTCTCAAGATCATTTCCTTAAGTGGAAAAGGGTGCCCCAACACCTGGTTCCCACTTCCACTTCCCCATCGTAGCTTTCTCATCTTAGTAATTGGCAAGTATGGCCTGCCAGCTCCTCAGGCCATTTCTCTGAGGAATTGGTCTTGCTTTCCTCTTTGTCTCCCCACATCCAGTCCCTGAGTGAATTCTGCTGGCTCTACCGTCATGATTACCCAGAATATTACTTTTCACCACCAACATGGCTACTACAAACACTATTCCAAGTCTCCATCATCTCCTTTGTGCTAAATGGCATCCTTACTTGTCCTTGATCTGTATGTTCTCTCCACAGCAGCCATGTGTATCTTTGAAAATTCTAAATTAATCATGCCATTCCTGAATTTAACACCCACCAGCACCTTCCCCTGTCTATTATCAAAACAGTCTGCAAGGCCTCGGAGTGCTAAGGGATCTGTCTAATCCCATCTAGACCAACTCTCCCTTTCCCTTCCTGCCCACCCAAACTGCTTTCTTGACACTGCTAGAATTCACCAAACCTAGTTCCTATCCCCCAAAGCTTCTGCATGTCCTCATCCATTTTCCTCCAAGATATCTACTTGGTTCACCTCATGTCCTGATACTTTAAGGCCTTTCCTAATACCTCATATAAAATTATAATCTTGTTCAGTACTCCTTTTCTTCTTAATTTTATTTTCTCCACAAAAACCACAACTATCTGGCAGAATACTATACTGGCAGAATTCTTCATTAATTCGTCATGTGCTCTTACTAAAATTTAAAACTCCCTGTGGGTTGGGATTTGTATGTTTTATTGCATCCCAGATCTAGAATAGTGTCTAGGTTATGAGGGATTTGATAAATATTTCTTTCCTGCTTTTTCTTTTCTTTTTCTTTCAGTGCCACAGATTTTGTTTTGTTTTCCAAATTCACTCTGCAGCCCAAGCTCTGTAGCCTCCAACTCACTGCGATCCTCTGGCTTCAGTCCCCCTCATGCCAAGGGATTGAACCCAGGACCTTGCACATGCTAAGAGGTAAGCACTGTATCAGTGAAACATTTCCAGCTCCAGTTGGTTTTTTTGTTTGTTTGGTTGGTTGTTTTTTTGTTTTTTTTGTTTGGTTGGTTGGTTGTTTTTTTGTTTTTTCTGCTGTGTTGTCCTAGCTGGGCTTCAAAACCCTGGACTCTGCCTCCACCTCCCCAGCAACCGGGACTAGAGACGTGCCACCTCACCTAGAATTTTAAAAATCTGAATCACATGATAATATATTTTTTTTTCCCTAAATATTCCTTATTTAAATTTTTAGGGAGGATTAAAAGGCTTTCCTTATACAATTGTCCATGCCATCCCTGACATCAGGGGTAAACTGGGTATGGTGGTGCATGTCTGTAATCCCAAGCACTTGGGAGGCTGAGGCAGGAGGATCATGGAGAGTTGGAGGCCAGCTCGAACTCAAGTTTGGTTCAAACTCAAAACAACCCTCCAAGTGCTGGGATTGCATGCAGAAGTGCATGCAGAATGACATCAGCTAGCTATATTAGACTTGATTTACCAAATATCTTATTTGCTTTCATAAATGCAGATATTTTTCATGATATTAGGGATTGACCCCAAGGCCTTCACACTGAGCTATACCCCCAGCCCTTTTATTTTGAGTCAGGGTCTCTGTTATGGTTTATACCTCAATGTCCCCTCAAAGCCTCATGCATTCATAGGTGGGGCCATTTGGAAGTGGCTGAATCAAGGGTGTGTGAATATGGATCAAGGGTATATGATAACAAACTTGGTTTAACATAGTTTCAAGTGTGGATGTAGGAAGCCCCACCCTGGGTGTGGGTGGTACCAGCGATAGGCTTATAGCCTGGATAGAATATAAATAAATAAAGGTACAAGATCCCAAAGATGAATGTAACTGTACTGTATACTTAAAAAGTATCAATAAACTCAATAAGAAAAAAAAAATATATATATATATATAAAGGAATAGATGCAAGGCAGGCTGCTGCTGCTTCACGGCTTTCTGCCTAGCCTACTATGGACTGTTTCTCCTCTATTGCATGACCCTGCCTTGGAGGCAGCCAACTATGAACTGAAACCTCTACAAACTGAGCTGAAATGAACATTTCCTTCTTTAACTTGTATTGGGCATTTTATCCCTGCAATAAGAAAAGTCACTAAAACAACTGTGGGGATCATGAGTATTGGTTGTAAGTATTGTTAACTTTAGTAACTCTATATGTGTTAAGTTTCTCGTTTAGCAGGTAGAGTGTTTCCTTTGTGGAATTCCTAAAAGTTACAGTTTCTTGTCTCTGACCTTTAGATGTGTGGTTGTCCGGGTTACTACTACTCACGGTGGGTTGTTTTGGTGAACCTGCTTGCTCTCTTCCTGTGTGACCTTTCAGTTACTATGGTAAACCCATCCCATAATAGTTTGTGGTTTTTTTTGCTTTAAAAGGCCGGTGCTTGCCGGCAATAAACGCCGCTTTGATCACACTCTTGTCTTGGCGTCCTTCCTTTCTCTCTGCCCCATCTCCACCCCGCTGCTCTTTCAGGTTTGAGGCACTGCTGGACAGTGCTCTGCGTCGCCGGCTCGCGACAAACAACCTCTCCCTAAATTGCCCAGGCTGGTCTCAAACCTGTGGTCCACCAACCTTACCTTCTGAAGTACCTGGGATTAAAGACTCTCAAAGATTTGATATTTTTAACCCAGCCATTTTACTTTTTTTTTTTTGTACCAGGAATCAAACTCAGGTCCTTGTGAGTCAGGTGGTGGAACCACTGAGCCAAATCCCCAGCCCTTATCCCAGCCATTTTACATATTAAGACTCAATATAGCCAGGCATGGTGGCACACGTCTGCAATCCCAGCACTCAGGAGGCTAAGGCAGAAGAATCGCTGTAAGTTCGAGCCCAGCCTGGGCTACACAGTGAGTTCCAGGTCATTCTCAACTATATAGACCCTGTCTCAAAAAAATGAAAAAAAAAAAAAAAAGACTCAATATCACCAGGCATCGTGGCACACATCTGTAATCATAGTAATCAGGAAGCTGAGACAGAAGCACTGCTGTGAGTTAAGACCAACCTGGATGACACAGTAAGACCTTGTCTCAAAAGACAAAACAAAAGATTAGTGATTTGAGAAATGTAGGCAGTGACTTGGCCATGCTAGCACAGGTACTGCCCCTTCTTGTAGTTAACTGAATAGTAATGAGGCAGGAAAACAGGGCCTTAGCAAATGAGCTGTGGTTTGCCACAGGGCAAGTGGGTCTCTATCAGAGATCCAGGACACATGCACCCAAGCCCTCTCTAAGGGTCCACTCAGTGAATACTGTCTTCAGTTCTTGGGAGAATTCAAGCAGGTTTGGCTAGGACAGCCTGGGTGGGATATCAGCCTGAGGAGTGGGAGATATAAAAGACACAGCTGTTAAACTCCAGGCGCTGTGCTCCCTCCTTCAGTGGTCTGTGTTCACACTGTAGAGTGTGCTTCTTTTCCTATTTTTAATTGGCTCACAGCTGCTCTGCAGAGCATGTTTCTTTTTCTGACCTTTAATAAATGTAAAACCTCACTACCTTTTTTCCTTGTCAATTCTTTGTTTGAAACAAGAAGCTAGAAAGAATCTCTAGAAGGGGTCCCCAGAATGCCAAAACCCAATAATGGTAATTGGGATGGAAAGCTTGTCTATTTAACCAGATCTTGTTTGTAAGTAACAGGGTCTCACTATGTAGTCCAGGTTGGCCTTGGACTGGAGATACCCGTCTCAGCCTCCCAAATGCGAGAATTACAAGGTTATGCCACTATGCCCAACATTAGATAACTCTTGAAATAGCCCTTAAACAAGATCTATACCATGATTACTGCTCACTGATAGTCATAACAAATAGTTTTGTTGCTTGGTTATTTGGACTTAATGTGATACACCTAGGCAGTCAAATGAATGTTTTCCGTTTGTAGCCCACTTATTCATAGGAACTAAAGTTGGCCTAAAATGCAGCCAATCTTTAAACCTCAAAGATAACATGATAGAAATAATTCACCTACTGTTAACTCATGTAGTACTTTCTCCATGTAACTACACTCAAAATTAGTCATGAGCTGGGTTTTGGTGTTTTTGCTTTTTGAGTCAGGGTCTCATTTGTAGGTCAGCAGGCCTTGAACTCACTACGTAACCTAGACTGGCCTCCAACTGGCAGCAATCCTCCTGCCTCAGCCTCCAGAGTTCTGGAATTACAGGTGTGGGCCACCAAATTTAGCATGCTTTAAAATGGATTTTTTTTTTGTTTTGTTTTTTGTTTTTTGTTTTGAGACAGGGTCTCACTATGTAGTTGAGGCTGACATGGAACTCACTATGTAGTCCAGGCTGGACTGGAACTCACAGCGATCCTCCTGCCTCAGCCTCCATCCAGAGTGTTAGGATTAGCTAGGCGTGGTGGCACATGCCTGTAATCCCAGCACTCAGGAGGCTGAGGCAGGAGGATCACTGTGATTTCAAAACCAGCCAGGTCAGTCTCAACTACATAGTGAGACCCTGTCTCAAAAAAAAAAACCTAAAAACAAACAAACAAACAAAAAAAAAAAACAGAGTGCTAGGATTACAGGTATGAGCCACCACACCTGAATAAATACCTTTTAGTCCTGAATATTATCTAGTTCAAAGAGTGTACATTCCAAAGCTGAGTGTCTTCTGCCAAAACCAGGATTTGAGATTACTAAGGGACCAAATGAGGAGAGTGTCATGAGACTGCTAGTGTCTACACACACCAACTGTGAGGGCCCAATTTTCCCAGCATGTATCTCACTCAGCCCAAGCAATTCTCATCAGCTTCAAAGGGCGAGATGTGTATCTGCAGATGCGAGTTTGCAGTACCCAGGGCTCACTCAGCAGGAACACATCCTACAAATTAGGATACCAGGCTTCATTTTTTTTTAAACCAAATCAACCCAGTTGGACTGTGAACCTTTAGTTCTAAGAAATAATCAACTGTCCCTTACAGTATCAAATCCACTTGGCTTTGTTTCACACCTCAATCTTGTTGATTACCTAGGATAAGCCATAGGTTAGGTTTATAGACTGATATGATATGCAAAACATGTCACAGAGCTGCATGCAATACCAATGTGTAGCTTTTTAGTACCAAATCACCAAAATGTACTCTGAAGGTAATTTTATACGTAGCATAGAGAGAAGAGATATAATTTCACGTTGAATGTTCAATTTTTTAAAAATATATATAATTCTGTTTACAACTACTGTTTTTCAGCTTTAATTTGATACTTTACTACCAGGTAAATTATCTTTTAATGTAATTACTTTTATATAATAATTATGATCTTGAAATTCTGCAAAGTGATTAAAGGGCATTTCCTAAGAAATAAATTTCTGGGTTAAATTATGCAATTTTTCTGCTTATGGTTTTAGTATTATACTTTTATTATTATTATTATTATTACTATTATTAAATGCTTATGAAATGACATATATAGAAGTAGACCTTTGCAAATATCTGAGACTTTAGGTCTAAAATGTTTTTAATCACAGATTTAAAAGTTGACATAAGTGTATCTCCATTATTTCTTTGTAGCATTAATTTTGACTCACTCTAGTATGTTATACACATCAGCACCTGTGCCCATTTAGCAAAGAATTTCAGTACAAATCACTCTGAATTGAATAGACATCTCTAAGAAGCATTACAATTGTTGCAATATTTTTAGAAACTGAAACAAGGAAATAAACAACTTCAGTAAAAGTGATTTAAATAACAAATAACGTATCTTTATAAACAGCTTATCTCCTTGAGAACAAAGAATAAACAAGGAGACAAGAGGTTTTTTTCCTTCCACTATTAAAGCAGATCACAATATGAATGGGTGAAATGTCATGAATAATTGGAGAAAATCACAGAGTAATCTTCGACAAAAACATCTGATTTATTTAAATTGTCACTGTTTGTCTTATTAGAACCTTTATTTAACCTTGTTATCTACAATGCAGTATTCAAGCTGGTTTATCAAAAATTTACTTTAACCATATTTTGAAAATTTTGACTTTCTTTAAATGCAAGCTATGGTAACATAAACCTCTTATGCCAGCTGTTTTACTTGAGACCTAATTAACTGACAGTGCTTTCAATGAAATGCCTATAAAAATCAAATGTTGTGAATCTACAACAGCAAATCAAGGTGTTCAAATGTTTTATCAAATTCTGGTTGGATTCTGGTGAAGGGGATCATCAGACATTTCACTTCTAGACTTTTCTGGGTACAACACTGATTATCCTCAGCTCATGAACCCAACCAAATACCACCAAAGTCACTTCTCATTGTGTCATTCAAGGCATTTATGATTTTCCAAATACATGCTTTCTAGATAAGCCTATTTCCTTGCTGACTTCTATGAAGATTCTGAGTATTTCAGGGTTTATTGTGTCCAGGTGAGATAGGATACGATGTGGCAAAACTGGCTGGGGAAGTAAGCAGGACCTGTTAATTACATGATCCCAGGACAGTGCCAGATAATTTCCTAGGACCCCCATATGTGGGACTTTTTGGGGCTTCCACGAGATGTGGACAGAAGATAACACCACGAGAAGCCCACTATCATGACTCCTCATGGTGGCCTACTCTGGTTCTTCTAGACCAGCGTGTACTTTTAATTTTGCTCTTTGCACCCTTCCTCTTTAGTTTGGTCCAAGTTTGCTCTGCAGAGCCAATTTTCCCCTTATCCCTTCACCCCTTTCATACCATTTTTGGCTTGTCTCAGTCAATTCTTTGCTCAAGGTAAGAAAGACCTGGAATGCTAATTGGGGAGCCATTTCTAAAACTGATAGCACAGGCACTGTTCCAAATGCTTTACAAATAATAATTCTTTCAATACTTATAACCACCTTGTAAAGCAAGTACTACTGTTATTTGGTAGCTCCTTCTAAAAGTGGATTGCCAAATAAACCTTACTGTGTTTTGGGTTGTTCACCTCTCCTCCTGGAGTAGGATTCCAGGTTCTTCTTGTCTCTAACAAAGAATTGAACAAAATGAGCAAAAAGCAGGGGCACAGTTTATTTGAAAAAAGTAAAAGTGAGGGAGCTCTGCACAGTGAACTTGGGCCAATTAAATGAGCAAGATAAAAGTACACCCTGGAGAAAGTTGAGCGGACTATCCTGAGGAAAGCCAGGATAGCAAGTTCTTCTTGGACACTAACCAAATCTCGAGAGAATTTCTACACAAGGGTCCTGGAAGAGAGTTGGAGCTGGGATCCCACACCTCAGGCTGAGTCAGGTCCAGGCCATCCTATTGAAAAGCTGCTCAAATGCTGGAGAGAAGTCCGTGAGCAGGGCTTTGTAACCCTTCAGTGAATCTTGTAATTAACAGATCATGCCTACTTCTCCAGCCAGCTTCACCACACCCGAATCTCCTATGTCACTATTAGTATCCCATTTTTATTTTAATCCTCTGTTTTGGTTTTTTGAGACAAGTCCTACTGTGTGATACAGGCCAGCCTCAAACTCACCATGATCCTTCTGCATCAGCCTTCCAAGTGCTGGGATTACAGGCTGCACCACCACACCTGATTGAGTGTCTCCATTTTATATGTGAAGAAACAGACACAGGAGAAATAACTTGCCTAAAGCTACTTGGCTACTAAGGATTCTGTCCACCTCTTCTATCAAGCCCAGATTAAACAGAATTGATTTGTGCACAGTACTGTCTTCATCTCAGATTTATATGAAATGTAAAATACTAGCCAAGAGAAATTTATAATACAAAAGCAAAACATACCAGAATAGTAATATGCAAATCATGCCAAGATTATGCACAAAAGACTAGAGATTAGAAGAAGCCAGGCACTCAGGAGCCCTCTATGGTTTAATATTAACCAAGCCACGATATGGCAACAGAGACAAAGGTGAATTAGAAAGGAGAAAAAGATGACTCAGGGTCATAAGCCCAAGTAGTAAGAAAAATAATGTTATCTGTAGGGGGAAAAAGGTGTAAATATTGAGAATTGTTTGGGAGTAAATGGAATAAGACTGATTTTTTAAAAAATAAATTTTATTTTATCCCTTTTCCCTCAAGCCCCCTCCTTCTCCCTATGTATAAAAGCTTTGTTTGCATTGTGAAACTGATTTTAGACAAGTGAGTTTGATTCAGTCAGACAACAGAAACAGTACATGGTTGCCTGTGTTTATGCAACGGTGGGACGTGGTGGCCAACACTGTGGTGATATGCTCATGTTCTAGGCTGACATAATTACAGATTTAAGAGCACCGGACAGCTTCTAGCAGTCCTGGTCAGTCTCTCGACCAAACCTCACTCACAGCTTCAAGAACAATACACCTCCTGTGAGGATGTGTTCCCAAATAAAAAGTCAGAACTTTCTTTGCAAATACCACTAAACATCAAACCCAGTGTACCTAGGAGTATATGTCTCTATGGCTAAGCCTGCCAAAACCAAAATTACAACAATTTAGTGTAAGGATCTTAATTGGCTTTCTTTTCAATTCTAGACTCAGGCAGCACTCTCAAAATGGAATGAGTGTTCTAATGAGATATGCAGAGAAGGTTGGTTTTATATAAAAGGAATGAAGAAAACGGGGGGGGGCATTGGGCATTTTAAAATAACTTTCTTTGTAAGGTGGGGACAAGGAGCTGCATCTGCCTGGAAAGTTGCAAGGTCCTGAGTTCAATCCCTGGTACCAAGAAGAAGAAAAGAAAAGAAAAGTGGGGACAGGGACACGGACCAATAAGAGAGAGGACTTCATTATCAATTGAAACTGGCATGTTGGGACGTTTAGCTATTATCTCTCATTTCTCCTAGCTTCTTTGGAAGGTCAGATAAATTGCTTAATTTAGCTTGGTGGCATAAAACTTCAGAGTAAGTGACTCCATTTTTTGTTTTTTGAATTTATTTTTAAATTTTATTTATTTATTTTTGTAGATAGGGTCTTGCTACATATGTAGCCCAGGCTGGCCTTAAACTTGTGGTGATCCTCCTGTGTCAGCCACCACCACCTCAGCTCTTAGCACAGTTTGCTTGGTACATATTTGTTACATGAATGACCACAGGGTCCAGCAGTCTCAAGGAAGACATGTATGATCAGCCGAGATCCTATGATGCCACTGGTCCTGGGAGGGAGGGACCCTCCCTTGCAGCTCACTAATTAAATATTCTTGGGCCACTCTTGTGATTCTCTACATTCTTGGTACTTGGTATGGTTCAGGATAGGCAGCATTAGCAATATTTGCTAGAAATGCAAAATCTCAGGCCTCATCCCAAAGCTCCAAAATCAAAATCTGCATTTTTGTAAAATTACAGGTAATTTAATGCATACTGTTTGAAAAACGCTGCTCTTGAAAGCACTGGTGGTTCTTTACTCAGAAAGTAGTTCACCTTCTCAAGAGAAGGAACAATGCTTGGTTCCCAATCTTCCAGTGATTGAGGATCTTTTTATTTTTGCCCTGACCGGGGTTTATTCTAACCTGGCCTTACATGGTTGAAACAACTCACAGCATAATGTCATTTATCCTTTCTCAAAGGAATTCTGTGCCTTGTTTTTTCTCAGCATATGTTTATTATGGTATTTATTTTCTTAGAAGCTAGTACCAGGGATGTCAACTACCTGACTGGGGACAAAAACTACTTGCTGTTGTGGCTGCTTTTTACTCTTACAGCCTTGGAATTCATCTGTCAGAGGAATGGGCTCCATCAGAATCCCTAAAGTGTTCAGCCACTGGCTGACAGCAGGCTCAGGAGGCGCTGTGGCTTTGAAGCCTACACAGTAGAGTATTTCAGAGCACAGCCACTGAATCTGTAAGTTAATTATACTTCCTGCAGTTGTAGAACGGAAAGACACAGTTTCACGGCTACCACAAAGGGTAACAAAAGATAAAATTACAAAGGGACGGTTGATGAAAAGTATTACAAAAGCACGAGAGAGTGGTTATCATCAATGCCTGATGGATCCATATATAAAAGACACTAAATCACAACTTGAAACAGAATTCTGTGTGTTTTGAAAGAGTTATTTATAAAGCCTCTTGGGGTTAGGGAGTAAGACCTCCTAACAGAAAACAGATGGTCACTAGAGCCCCTCTAACCTACTAAGGGTGAGGGTCAAGTTACCAGCAGGCTTATTTTACTCTGATGGAGGGCTTGGCTCTTTTCAGCTCCTCCTTCCAGAAACTGCCTTTTCTCTAAATAAAACTGAACTAAATGTAAAAGAAAATCAGTATAAAGATGTGTTCATCTAAAACATTAGCCTCCTAGAGCTAACAAATCTTACGCTGATCCCTCCCTGACTATGGAAAGAGAAGTTAGTTTTTGACAGAAGAGAAACCATCTGAAAGGCTACTACTAGAATACATCAAGGTGAGAGGGAGCTTAGGCTGAGGGTGTATCTTGGGGTAGAGCAGGAATTCAGCCTCTGTGAGGCCATAAGTTCAATTTACAGCTACAGAAAGAGGGGGTGAGAGGTTTCCCATGTATACATGCACCAGCCAGGCCTGGTAGCACAAGCTTATAATCACATCACTCTGGGAGGCTGAAGCAGGAGGAGAGCAAGTTCAAGCCCAGCCTGGGAAATTTGGCAAGACCCTATCTCAAAAATAAAGATAAAAAATGGGCTGCACTGCCTTTGCAAGCGAAAGGACCCGTAAATTCAATCCTTGGTACCAAAAAAAAACCAAAAAAACGGCTGCAGATGTAGCTCAGTTTGAAGGCCTGAGTTCAATCCCAGAACTGTACCACACACACAAAACTAGAATATAAATCTGTGTATACAAGGTGTGGCTGATAATATGGTATTTTAAATTTTTTAAAAATTTATTACAAGGTCCAGAGATTTAGCTTAGTGGTTCCGCCACCTGCCTCACAAGTGCAAGGTCCCTAGTTTGATCCCCATTACCAAAAAAAAAAAAAAAAAAAAAAAAAAAAAAAAAAAAAACATATTACA